CCAATGTCCAAATTCTTTCCTGGCATTGTTGTCATTGCAGAAGTAACACAATCCCGAAGACTAGTCTATTTTTAGGGGTGGTAGCTCTAAGGTATACAAGCAGCCACACTTTAAAGCCGCCCCAGAGCTGTGATAAAGATATCCGCATGTGTGAGTGCACTGCTATCCATGAGGTGGTCACTGAAGACTTGTCCCAGCTTGCAGCATTACTCTTTTGAACAGTTGAAACATCCATTCTGTTGGGGGAATTGTGCTTGTTGACAAGAATTTAGAAATATAGAAATATGATCATCCGTGGGATAAGGTGAGATGCAGCGTGATATGAGGCAAGGCCAGACAGGAAGATGAGCAGCAGATATGGGGGTAGGCTTACATAAGATGGCTTGTCCTTTGAGAAGTTGGAGGTTGTGTTGTCATCTCCCCAAGCTGAATCGTTAAAGAGGCAGTGGGGGTTTTAATGTGAAATGTGGATAAACGATAAACACACAGTAAAGCTGATAGTCACTGTTAAAAATATTCCAACTTTATACAGGGTTTTAGAGAAATCGCTTGAATAACCACTGATATAATCCTACCAAAAAAATTCCTTACGTTTGTCGACTGTATTCCGAAAAGAATGTTTTGTACTTTTTCAAGATTCACACTCACTTTTCAAGGTGCTCTACAGAAATGTTATGGTTCAGGTGGCCAAGTTTATATTATATTATTTATATAATTTGCATGTAATGTTCCTTAGTATTGCATTAATAATATATCAGTTTTATACAGCTCTCTCAAAGATGCTTCACAGTAAGTTGAAGTATTTGTACTTGGTACACAGTGACGGTAACCTACTGTAGCCCTATAGGCACAAAATGGAGGCTGTCAAACTCTGTGGCCTCAGATTCATACTTCAATGTGTGTCTTGCCTAAGGACACAACAGTTTTGCAAATGAGAGCCGCAGCTGCCTCGCTGTGGCACCTGGTGTTTCCGAGGTCTCCATCACAGGACTAACCAGACCATGCCCTGCTTAGCTTCTCTGCTTTACTTATACAGGGATGGCCATCCGTATACTTCTCAGGTTACAGGCCAAACCTGGGCGGCACGGTGGCTGAGTGGATAGCACTCCCGCACTCTCTCAGAAAGAAGGTCCTAGGTTTGAATCCCAGTCAGTCCTTTCAGAGTGGAGTTTGTATGTTCTCCTCGTGTCTGCGTAGGTTTCACCTAACACTAAAAATATGAACTATAGCTAAATCCTCCACCTCTGGTCCTGACCTAGCCGAGCATCAACCTCTGGACCTGGGTTCCCGGGCGCTGTACTATGGCGACTACTGCTCCAGGAAGGGTCAAAAGCAGAGGACAAAGTTCCTACAGGGATAAAAAAGTGCACTTTCACATTTACATTAAAGTATGCAGAGAGGCAAGTTGAAATAACTTGTATTGTCATTTAAAACATGTAACGACATGTAATGTGACTGAAGAAGGCAGAGCAACAACTTCCCCATATGGACAAACAGGTGGTGTATCCCATCAGAAAAGATTCATTTCCCCCTTTATGGGACAACTTGACAAATAGCTGTGTTTGCACTGGGCGGTGAAAGTTTTAATAGACTTCACACAGACGGAGGGGGCATGTGTTTTGGAGCCTGATGAAAAGCGCAAAAAGCCAGCTCACTTAAGGTTATGGGGTGAAAAGTCACAACCTCTTCGCCTCGGGCTAGTGTGGCTGCTTTCTAATTCCCTTCCCAGTCTAAATCTAATTATACGTTTATTTGATGGACCACAGAACACATTTCAAGTCAAAATATGATGACAATTTTAATTCGAATGAAGGGCTTTTGAGACCCTATTAGATCAATATTCAGACACATTTATTGCCTGACCTGCCAGAACATTTGACATTCTGCCTAAAATGATAATTGTAAAAGTTTGTGTTCTGGCTGGAAGAAGAAAAATGTACTAGGATAAATAAGGACAAATCCAGTGGTCCGTCTCTAATCAGGAATAACAGGACGAATATAGACCATAAACCAGGATCAGAAATCCAGACTCTCTGTTTGGACTTTCGATTGTTTTGAAGATGTTGTATTCAGTTAATTCTGTGTTATGTATTATAGGGGTGAGACATGTTGCCATATATTATATTACCCAGAGATTTCCTGCCCTATTATAGTTTTAAGCCAAAGTGCATCTGGAAATCGCCTCTCATGTCTGCAGGGACCACAATGCAGGACAATGACGCCTTTGCGAATCCCAAGTTTGAGAGGGAAAAGCTGGTCTGCAGAGGGGTTGTGTGTTGGGACATTCACAAGAGTGTAACTTTATTTTGGTGACCTACAGCTGCACCAAATGCCACACATGCATTGGATTTTAGCCACGGGTGAACTTAAAACGGACATAAACACATGCACAGAGGCAGTTCTCCAATGTAATGTTGTTCCTTCTTTCTCACCCTTTCTCTGTTTATTGTGGTCTGTACATCTATGTCTATGGTGCAGAACAGCACAGGATGAAGTAAAAATGGCATAACTTCTCTTTGTCCAGCTGTTTTTAATTAAAGCTAAGATTTGATCCATTTTGATAGTTTGAGCCGTGGCTTTTGGAGAGGCTTGTTTCGGTGATCCTGGACTTGCTCATTTGCTGATAAGGCAGTGTGGAAAGTACCACGTCTGGATTTCTGTTGAAGCAATACGTTTTAAGGTCATGCCCTCGGAAAAGTATCCGCGACACAATGACACAAGTTTTATTGCATCTTTAGATACCTTGAAGAACAAGGCTTGAAACAGATTTGGATTGCACTATGAAAATAAAAATAACAATTTTACTTGCAATAACAGTATTTCTTTAATTTTGGATAACTAAGACTATAATTGATTTGAATCAAAGTCAGGAAATTTTGTTATCTTTTTTCAAACTATGTCACAAAGTAAATTAGTATGTAATTTTTATTTTTACAGGGACAGTCTATAATAAACATTAGCCAAAAGGGGAGATGGATTGTACAAGGTTTTAACAGAAGTGCTAATTTACACCTCGTCCCGGTGCAGGTTGAAGAGATTGTGTTTATTTTAAATCTGGAACAAATTTTGGTGTTATGATTTTGTTTATTTGTCGAAATCTTGAGAATGAAAAGTAAACGTGATTTTTTGGACACACTTTCTGGACCTGTCGGACTGCCCTGTGCACTGCCCTGGTGATAATCCCACCCATCTTTTGCCCTCTGACCCTCTCAGCAGCATGTGTCACTACCCTCCGCCTCCCCTCGCCTTTCCCACCATAAAGCGTTAACTGTGGAGCGGGAGTCACATTCTGGAAGCGGCCGATCGTTTGGTTTGGCCTCATGTCAAACGACCACTGAGCATTTAATGATGGAAAGCAGGAGGATCCTTTTGCCCATAGTCTTCTTCGTCCACTCGCTAAAGCCAAGACGCCATCTGGAGCTGCCATAAGCCCCGCCCTTCCTTAATGTGACCCCAGCTTATCCACACACACGACTCAAGACATGGGCCGGGCTGCAATGCATTCTGGATAATGGAGTGTCTATATACCTAAATTAAAATGCAACATAATGCATTTCACAGTGTTGCTGTATCAAGTTTTGTATCATTCATTTAAGGACAAATACACAATGGTTAATTTAAAACAACAAAGTATCTCTCCTTGGCTTGCTTATTAAGGCAATAAACAATACTGAAATGTGTTAAAACTAAAAACTATATCGGACACATAGAAGTTGGATTTGATTTTGATGCCACTTGACAGTCTTGCATTCTTTAAATAATATAGTAGTCTGTGGGTCTATTAGAGATTAGACCCACAGACTAAACTGTAAACAAGTTGTAAAAACTAAAATCAAAGTTAATCAAACACAATGGTTATGTTGTATTAAAGTGTGTGTGTTGGAACAAATGCTGCTGCCAGTGTCACACAATTTTCCATTTCCTATTTGGGAAACACTCATCATTTGCCTACGATGAACTATCTATCATACCATTAACCTTGTTTACTCAGCAATTTCCTCTTTCTGTTACTGCTTTCTGGGGAATTGTATTATAAATTACTTTAATGGTGGCAGTGCTTCATTTTTCAGAGTTCAAGATAGACTTTTCATATGCCACATTTCCTGTGGCATTATTATTATTATTATTATTATAAACAATATTGTTATTTATTGTGAAATTGGGTAGAGGCTCAAACATATTGTGTTCATGATTATGCCATAAACTGACATTCAATCTACTTTTTGCCAATCACCAGCCTATTTATAGTTGTATTTATGGATCATGACGACATACGATGCTAATGTGTTTTATCTAGCTATAGTGTGGCAGTGGTGCCCCTGGTCCATTATCTGCCTTCTCCTTAAGTGCTTATTCACACTAACTTAAAAGTTTCTGGGACTTGTTCAGTTTCAACCTTGATGGTGTTTTAATCAGCACTTTGTTTGCCACTGTCCTGCATACTCACTGTGGACACTCCTAGAGGCTCGACAGCATTTCTTGGGCCTGGCAAACCACAAAGGATCATGGTCTTTGTAGTTTAAAATTCTTTCACGATCACAAGAATATAAAGAAACGTTTACTACCGTGATATTGTTCCATTTTTTAAATGATGATCTATTGTAGGCTCTTCACTTGCTTTACCAACACATGCAACCTCAAAGATGATTTGTTTTGCATTTAGATTTTGACGACTTTTGTTTTTCTCTAGATAGAGCTTTCCTTATACTCACACTTCAGAGATTCATTGATTTTACGTCATCATGAGATAATATTTATAGTTCATGAGCATCAATTATCAATGTAATTTTTTGTCTTTCATGAAGTGTAGATATGCAGATGTAAACACCCTCATGTCAATATTTACAGTAAACCATGTAAGCTACAGTATTTTAGCCATGGCAGTGATTCCTTTGTTGCATGTCAATAAAACATGTAGAAAATAAATCACTGATCCATTCTGTTTTCTGTCTACAGGTGACCTACAGACAAACAGCCATAGAGTGCAGGCTGAAGCCAGTATGAGCACCAACAACCACCAGGAGGTGGTCACGACTCCTCCTCCCGCCTCAGGCTCCAAGGAGCGCTACTTTGACCGCATTGATGTCAATGACCCAGAGTACATCAGGGCCAGGAACATGTCTCCAGACCTACGGCAAGACTTCAACATCTTAGAACAGAAGAAACGTGTGACACAGATACTGCAAAGCCCTGTAAGTTTCAATATTTACATTACACTCATTTAAAAAAGGCCAAAAAAGGTTTGTGTCGACTCGGATTATTAAAGCAGTCAACAATTTAGAGAAAAGGTGTATACAGATTTTGAAATGTTCTCAGTTCAGTGCTGGGAAAACAGCAGCAGTTTGTTTCAATATGACATATCTGCTGAACATATTACTGTCACAAGCCCAAAATTGTGGTAATTAGAAATCTAAAACATGAACAGCAGGTAAATCTTGACCAGGTCTCTCTCAAGATCTGGAGATGGTCACTGGGTGCTGTAGCGCAGGAGCTCACAGTATTCCCCAGCGACTCTTGAAGGATGGGTCAATAACAAACACATAATAATCTTGCAAACATACTGCATCTGATTTAATATGTGATATCAAATCAAAGCATTCTCCTCCTACACACTCCTTTCCTTTGGCTCTGTATCCAGTGACTGAAGTTGTGTCGAAGTAAACACAAAGTCACATTGTTTTATTAACCCACTGGAGATCCGGATTTCCCAGTGTCGCTCTTAATGTTTTCATACGATTGAGTGTCTGCACTTAGTCCATCTGTGGACGTGATTGGCCGAGCAGCTCACAACACTGAGACGATGCTGTCGTTTCTGCTATTTCTCTGCACTTTGAACAGTTGCCATCTATTTCATGATAAGTCCCCTACCTTTCAAAACAGCACATTGGTAATATTTGCTCTGCTGTGTTGACACAAGGTTGTTCTCTAACTCAAGCGCCCCTATGTTGTTTGCATTATAGGTTGTAACATATGAACCATGTGTGTTATATTTATTGTCTGAAAACTACTGCAAATAGATATACAGTCCAAAGATCAAGTTTAACGAGCCCTTTTAAGCAATAAATGTCTCGAATAGTTGTCTAGCAGTAGTAGATGGAGTCGTATAAGTGTGCAAGTGTGTGTGATTGATGTTGGGTCGTGCTGATAGCTTGGCCCTGGTCTTTTTTGGGCATTAATGTGAGCTGCATTCTGCACATGCTCCGGGTAGTGGCACGTTACATTTTGGGACATACGTCAAAGCGTCTGATACCAACTCTCACTCATGATACTAGTTACTAACTACTGTAGTGCGTTTGGACAAAGCAATACACTCTTAAATGGTAAAATAGTACTTTTATCCATTGAAATTGTTGATATGGCAAGGGTATATTGCATGGTTTCCACTAGTGTCGAATGTGTTATTTCCGATGAGACCGACTTGTCAAAAAAAGGAAATCATAAACCAATTTAAATTTGGTCATATAATGTTGATTAATTTAGGGTTAGGGTTGTATTGTGCTGTGTGTGGTGGAAAAATACACATTTATTTTGACCTAAATTGAATCCGTCAGACCAGTTTTTTACATCATGAATTCACTTCCTGATCACAATCTAAATTCTGTCCAGCAACGGCAAATAACAGTATTGCCTGAAACCATGTACATTACACGCCAAGTTTTGTCAACAGTATTACCTGGAGTTTTCCTCTGTGTAGGTTTCAGCTCCAGTTTCCCCAACCACTAAAACAATAGGTCTCGCATGCACCTCCTGTATGGCAACTTTGCTTCCATCACAAAAAAATATTTGTGATAGGCACTATATAAATAAAGATCACTCTATAAGAAAAAATAGAAAAGCAAACCAGCATCTACATTAAACTACATCATTTAATTAATCGGCATCATTATTCAGCATTTTACAAGCAGCTGTTTTTATAGGGGTGCATTCCTGGGTGCAGCTAGCTGACACGGACAGTTAGCCTCGTAGCATGCACTTATTTGAGTTAATTGGTCACTGATGGCTCTTATTTACCGCTCTGTCAAAGCATGAGCGCTTGAGCTTGTGCGATGCTCGTGTGGTATGCATTTTTGTCCTTGCTTGATGTGGTTTTTGAATCCGTGCCAAGCCTTGCATCGCCGGCAGTAACAGGTGGTCTCACTGAGGTCATAAAGGGGTACACCAGCCCTGCCCAAATTCAGCTTCAACAACAGTAGTTACACAAGCGAGTAGGATCCGTGTGCCCGCCTGGTCTGCCCTTTCCCATCGCGGTTTGTTTTGGTTGCAGTGTCATGGCACTAGCCGCGGTCAAAGATTACATGTTTCACAGTTGACAGCTTGTGTTTAAAGTTGGACCAATTTAGACCAAACGGAATTTCTTTCAAACTGGCAGCTTAAGTAATTTTCGCCTCTGCTCACCAGCTGGTTGGCGCAAACGAAACCACCAATCGTCAAATTGAGATAATACTGAAATAACGAGGCATTAGGTCATTTTAAGTTATGTCATGTTTTTGTTAGGGGGGCTGCGTGTGTTTCTTTTATCTGGATTAGGACCGTTCTAAACCCTGTGTTCAAAGGCTTGTAATAATAACAAAAAACAGTATTAGAAATGTGAGTGTAATGGCCATGAAAAGTCAATCTTGTGGATGATTCCAGACAAATGGCATAAAACCTTTCATATGTGCTCAATCTAAGACCATTACAATGTCTGATTTTTGTAATAGAGGTGAAAGATTTTAATATTATAAATTGTATCACCCATATGATGATTTCAGTTTCAGCCTGTTATAGTTAAATTCCCTTGTCATCTGCCGAATCTTTATGAATGATTCATGCATGCCAAAGGGGGTTGAACCTCCCTGAATACTCCGACTACGGACACAAAGAACTCGACAATTATTTGCAAGATTTTCTCGAAATAAAAACTATTCCGGTCTCTGCTAATTTACTCTGTGGTTGAGCGTGGCTTTTAATGTGACCTTGTTTCACTGACGTTGTGTAAAGTGGCAGAGAACAGAACGATACGGCTGGACTTGTTTTAGCTCAAGATTGAGTTTTTAAAAGTACAGGGCCACAGGTGTCAAAGAGGAAATTTAGTACTTAACACAATTCAACCATTAAAGTTGAGCTGCCAAACTTTAAAACGAAATAAAACAATTTAATCAAATCAATCTAGTTCCTCACTCACATACTGTGTGTTTTCACATCTCTATCATCTTTTTCTGACAGAATTTTTTTTACTATTAGAATAATCTTTCAAATGGAACAACTAATACTAACTAACTTATGTAATATATATAGTTTTATCAAGTTTGGTTCCCCAGCTTTAATTTTTACATAATCTATATGTGTAGACGAGGCTATGGGCAATTTGAGGGAATAAACTTTATACAGTTTATCAACGTGATGACGAAGGGAGAGATTTGTTTTCAAATCGCAAAGCATTTTTTATGTGAGCCAGCAGCAGTGTCAAGAGCTGGTGGAGAAAATGGTATGTTCATTGTGGACAATGTTTATTTTTGTTGACTTTTCTGTATAATGACAATGAATGGCAAACTCAAAAGGTCAAAGGCCTCGATTAGATTGTTGTATTGTGACATATATATTAAAAAATATCATGTTTGTGAAATGAATTTGAAAACATTCTCTGCCAGATGTTCCTCCCAAAACATAGTTCACCTAATCAGAGCCGAAGCACAAATCTGATCTGTAAAATCCATCATTGCTTACCAAATAAAAGAAAACATGTAGCTACAAGAAATTGCAAAATTGCCCGGCCCTTGTAAAACTATTCAACAGACTTCTGCAACACTAATGGCTTGTTTATCAGGGTATTTGGTGTTGGAGGCATGTTTTGTCAAGACGGGCCTCGTCATCAATCTTGGCAGCAAACACATTGGGTCATACGGTTTGTTTTCCTTGTCTCTCGTTAACCTGCGTATATTAAAGGTCACATGGGAAGAGCCGGCGTGAATACAGGGGATAATTGAGCTTCTTTATGGCACTGATGTCAGGACCAGATAAAGACCGTTCTGTGAAACTGGCCTGAAGGATCCCTGTGCTCTTGGTTTCTGTCTCATGATGTCACAGCCGCTCAAAGATGTTATTAATTTATTGAATCCTGTGATTGAACTCACACTATACTCTCCCCCTCTCACACAATTTCTACTGAGGACTGGTGTGCAGCTAATCAGGTTCCTTTGCAAGAAGTCGAGGTCAGACCTGATTGAATTTGGACAGAATTGAATTTGACTGGGCGCTGGTGTTGTGTTTCCTCTCATGTTTTCAACACTGATTGCTAATTGATGTTTGTCATCAGGTCAAGAAGTTTTTCTAGTTATGAGGTTCTTGTACAGTTCTAAAAGATAAAGAACTGTACTCTACATTCAACAAAATTGTATGGACATTTATCAACACTAATGGACATTGGTCATCAGCCCCTTATGGACCAATACCAATGTGTTTGCTGTTCTATTTTCTTGTTTGAATCGTTTTATTTTCTGATCTGTGTAGGCGAATTTAACATGTAAAGTCCTCGTAGATAACTACTGTTGTGATTTAGGGCTAAAAAAGATTACATTGAATTGAAAGAAATAAAACATTAAATCAAATGAATCTATTCTATATAAAAGATGTATTACGGCTATATACTGCTGTCCTAATTCACAATGTTAATTTCCATTTTTGTGATGACGTAACACAGGACCAACCCAACAGAATGAAGTAGAAATGTTCCACCAGAAGTCACTTGCTTATCACCAGTTTGAGAATTGTATGGATCACTTTTGGTTGGTAAATTAATAAGTTGTGCTTAATTTCTTTGTTCAAGTGCTCTGTGTACTGGGTGTAGCTCTGACTGCCACCCCCCGACCCAGAAATGGATTACGGGGAAGAAAATGGATGGATGGATGGACTACTGTCGGTTGTTATGAATACAAGTCAGTCTATTATGGGCTGCATCTGTAATATTTGCCTCATATTAAAGACTATTTCCTCACTGCATATTCACTTATCCCTCATAAACTTGCGGAGGTCTCATTAGACACATTAGTGGTTTCAAATCGCTCCAGAGGGTCTTTTCAAAACTCAGCCGTTCCATCTCACAGCAGCTGGTTTTACACTTTGACATCTTTCATTTAGTTGTAACAAAGTGAAAGCTCCCGCAGCGGAGAACTACCCTCAGGAGTGGAGCATAACACTGTTAAGTACAGCAGAG